AGAGAGTGATCAGGCATTGGAATGGGCTGCCCAGAGAGGTGGTGGATTCACCATCCCTGGAGATTTTTAAACACAGATTGGACGTGGCACTGAGTGCCATGATCTAGTAAATGGACTGGATTTGGACCAAGGGTTGGACTCGATGATCTCGGAGGTCTTTTCCAACCCAATCGATTCTATGATTCTATGATTCTATTCTATGAGAAGAGGAGACTGAGGGGAGACCTCATTGCAGTCTGCAACTTCCTTGTGAGGGGAAGAGGAGGGGCAGACACTGCTCTCTCCTCTGTGGTAACCAGTGACAGAACTTGAGGGAATGGTCTGAAGTTGTGTCAGGGGAGGTTTAGGTTGGGTATTAGACAAAGGTTCTTCACCAGAGGGTGGCTGGGTACTGGAACAGGCTCCCCAGGGAAGTGGTCACAGCACCAAGCTTGACAGAGTTCAGGAAGGGTTTGGACGATACTCTTGGGCACATGGTGTGACTCTTGGGGATCATCCTGTGCAGGGCTAAGTGTTGGACTCGATTGTCCTTGTGGGTCCCTTCCAACTCAGCATATTCTTTGATTCTGTGACTGTTTTGTTAGACTTGAAAAAACTTCTGAAAAGTAGCCTTGCTTGCTCATTTTAGCTGTAGGATAGAGCCTTACATAGGAATCAAAAGCCATTATCACAACTACAAATATGTAAGGATCTAACTTATCACCAAGGGTTTTGGCTGGTTCAGTGTAACTAAAAAATAGATAGCTAGGGATGGGACAGAAAATCAGCAAGTAAAGTAGAGAAAGACTTTTTCTTCTGCAGAATATAAGAAGTTATGGCACGGAAGCAGCAAGATGGAAAAAGAAAAACATACTCTCATCTTAAAAGTACTATTACAGGTTCCTTAGGATCCTTCAGGATAACACTGAAAGAAACTTTGCACGTTGAAGTAGAAGAATTGAACATCAGTGAGACTGATGATCTTGTGAAGTGAAATACTTTGAACACTTAAATGTCACTGAAATGAATTCCTGGCAATAATTTAAAATCTGCCCTTGGTCTTCTAAATCTGCTTCATTTGACTTTGACACACAATATTGCCAAAAATTAAATATTGATTATGCCATTTATATAGAAAAGTGAAGGCTTCAACTTGAAAACTGTAATTTTCTTTTATACCAATATCATCTCCCTAAGAGGAGAACAAAATTAGAAATTTGAAATAATGGCTCAGTCATTTGCTCTGGATATATTCTTCTAAGTTATCTGAAGTTATAGATCTAAAATTTTATACTGTAAGCATAAAAAAACCAAGACTCAACACAAATGGAAATATTAAAAAAAAAAAAAGACACTAGGTAGCATATTGCTTTTGTGTCTGAAAAGAACATTGCATTTTACTTGATGAAAACGCCAACCACAAACACACACAAAAACATAGTAAGATTTTAGAATCTGAGCAGCTACTGGAAATGACAAGAAAAATTTGCAAGTCTCACTGTGTCATCCTAAACTTTTGTCATGCAAGTATTCTGAAAAATCATCTAACCTTGTTAAGAAAGCAGTAAAACTTTTAAAAGATCAAAACTATATTGTAGAAAATAAAAATATCTGTCACAATCAGTATCAACTTTGTGGTTGAATGACTCAAAAAGGGAGGACTGCTAGTGCAGTTTTCCTCTGAGTAAAACTTAGATTGCCTCTATATGTGAATCCATCTACTATAAATATGGTTTAAATGCTTTTTGAGCAGTGATCGATTTTGTTTGAACCTCAAATACAATTTAGAGAACAAGAAAGGTGTTCTACAAAGATTTATTAAAAGCTAACAAAAGCTACTTTGCTTAGTCTTGGGGATGTACCTAATGATAGGTAGAGTAGTCCCAATGGCAATTTGTCTTGAGAAGTTTCAACCTCCCAAGAGGCTAAAGTGAAAAATATATCATACAAATCATACAATAGTTTGAGTTGGAAGGGACCTTTTAAAGGCCATCTAAGTCCAACCCCCCTGCAATAAGGACATCTTCAGCTAGAGCTAGTTGTTCAGAGCCCCATCCAAGCTGACCTTGAACACTTCCAGGGATGGGGCACCCACAGCTCCTCTTGTAACCTGTGCCAGTGCCTCACCACCCTCACAGTAAGGAATTTCTTCCTAATATCTAAATCGACCCTCCTTCAGTTTAATACCATTCCCCCTTGTCCTATTGCATCAGATCCTGCTAAAAAGTTTGTTCCCATAATTACTTCTTTTACCAGGAAATTACATTTTTGAAGACCGATTGAAATAACAAGGTTCAAACTCAATATTCATCATTTAGTACTTTGTTAGAAACAGAGACTTTCAGAAAACATGGACAATTAAGTGTAAACAGTAAAACACATTTAAAATTAAATGTTACATTTTGTCTACATGATCTGTTTTATATATAAACAACACTAGTTTTCCAAAATACCATTATGAAAAGGTAAAGACTCCTAACAGATCAATCAGGAGCATTAGTAATGCATTCTCCCCACACCTTCTCTCCAATACCCTCATGCATTTAGTAACCTGCTACTTACATTCATTTAATAGAGGTGCTCCCATTATTGCAGAAGCTTGATTTTTTTTCTGAGGTGCACACAATTTTCTGCTATTCACCAAATTCAGTAAGAGAAATGTAAGGTATTATATACTTAGGACAAAAAAACACACACGAAAATGGTACAACAAAATAAACTGGAATACAGAGTTGACAAAGAAATATAGTGCCACTAGCTTTGTGGCTAGACCACCACTCCAAAAATATGTATAATCAAAGAAATAATTTTTTTCCCCTGACACTTCTTCATTTTTGTTTCATGTTGTATATACACATTTTGGAGGCCTCAAATGAGTTCCTCAACTAGCAAATGAGCATATTGAAAAGAAATACACTTGCAGATTAAAGAAGAAAAAAAAAAGCACCCTGTAATATCAACTGGATGCTGAAGTACAATTTACCTTTATTTTCATTATTGTGTGCATCAAGAAGTCCAGTGTGAACTAAATTTATATTGCATTATTAGAATGCCAGGATCCAGAAGGAAAAACTCAGTAAGTGAAGACATTTAGACATATTGATAATCTTGAAGAATATGAATGACCTGTATTTCTTGACGAATTCAGATGATGTTTGACAACTTGAGGGTACTGAAAAGGGCTGAACAAAAAGATATTGGGTAGTCTCTTTGGTTTTTTAAAAGTAATACGTAACATGAGTAAAGAGCTCTCTAAGTGGCAAAGAAGCTTACAGTTTTGTGCAAAATCCAACCTCTAGGCAATAGGAACAGGTGACATAACCTTTCAAGTGTATTTTCCAGTTGAGCTCTTCTTTGTCTTTGCCTGTATCAGCTTGTACCACCCACCTTTGAAAGACATCACAGAAAATCTAGACTAGCTAGATGTTGCATGGAGATTCCTATTACAAAAGTGGTGTGGTCTCACACATTTTGAACAAAATCTATTTTTCAGTAATACATGAAAAGCAGGTCTCAACATGAAATACCAAAGCATGATCCGATTATGAAATGAGCTCATCTCACCCAGTTTCCCAAACACAGTTTCAGTTTTTTAGTCTGTTTCAAAGTTCTTGTAGATTCCTTCTGTATTCTCTGAATCTTTGAAGACAGTCTAGAGGACTACATTCTGCTTCATAACAGATAAGCTTTACTCCTTCCCACTGTGATAAACTTCCTGAAAACATATAGGCTTCATGTAGAGCTATTTCGCAGTGGAACTGTCTCTTATTTATGCCTGTTACTGGTCTCCTTTGGTTTTCTTTGGACACTCTCATTTTGTCAACAGGCATAAAACTCAGTGCAGATTCTCTGCTTTGTGTTGCTCTTCTGCTCCAGATTTTTATTTTTAAGTCATTAGACAAGACACAATTTTTTAGAAAACAAATGAAGGAGGCGCTTGCAGATAGAATTCACTGAACAATCTTAAGAAAAGTAGACTATATAATGAAGCTCAAGTTTGCTGGCTATCAGAATAATTTTGATTCTATTACAGTGAAGGTGAGTACTGCATAAAACAATCCCATAGTTTAAACCAAAATATTTATATGGGTGGTTGCCAATAAATCTTGTTTGCTGATAGAAAAGAATGAGACAGCAGGAAAGAAGAACTAGCAGATGCTGGGCAATCATTTTAGCAAGCAGAATAATCCTCAAGGATCACGAATTAGATAAGGAAGAATATTATTATTTGCCATCTGCTACTGGTCTATTAGTATGTCAGCATCTGGTGCCACAGAAAGATCTTTGTGATGTGAATGAACAAAGTGAATGCAGACAGTTTTCTTCTGCTGAAAGGAATTCTGCCGAAGGTAAACATTACAGGCCTTGCCACTGGTCAATTTGCTTAGTTTTTCATGTATGCTATTTAAAGTTTGATAAAAAGAGCACATTAATAGAGTTCACCTCAACGATTAAATAGTATAGTGTAATCAGTAAGAACTGAATAATAATCCCACAAGGTTGGCATTAAAACTTTCTTTCTATTCAATTTAGGCTGGTTTTTGTTTCCAAATGTCAGGCAGCAAATATCTAAGTTTGAGCAAAGCCAGTTGGTTTGAAAGTGTCTTAAACTGATCAATAATAAAGTGGGGCACAGATCTGCCCCGTCCCAGGCTAGAAATTTGCACATATATTTTGTTGACAAAATACTACTTGTTCAATGTTGCTACTCAGTGGCAGGATTATCTATGTTCCTGGGGATACTAAAGCATATTAAATACATTCAAAGTGCTAACAATTTCATATTCATGACAGATATTGCAAGAGATAACATGAAACTTCAGTAACCATAAGGTGTTGGTGGATCCACATATTAAACTGTGCAACAGTATACATGGAACAAGCTCTACTGTCTTGCGTTTATCTATTATGCAGAATGACACAACCTTGCATGCGAACCAACCTTGTTCAGCAGAGGCAATATATTAATCTGATAGATCACATGGCCGAGCATGGAGCTTGCAAGGCATAAGTGTACTTACTTTTGGTGTTGGGCAGGATGCAGTGGAGAGACGAGAGGTGGCCTGGGCACGAGGAGATTCTGAAGGAGTAGTACTGAGGGAGGCTGTATCACGTGGGAGAACCTGAACGCCACGAGAGATGATGGAATCTGGAATCTTAAAAAGAAGAGAGAGAAATTTAATAGTAAAAAAATATACTGTATGTAAAACTTACTCAAAACCTCATATCAAAAACATGGGAATACCCCATTCCTCCATTTGTGTACCTCCTCATATTCAGTGCTTGACAGCAGTTAATGGCATTTTCTCCTAATTTCAGTAACAAATTCCTAGCAAATATATAAGATCATATTCTAACTGAAGTAGCACAGAACACACTATTTGCCCTGAAAAACCTATGAATCAGACATACTACAACAGCAAATAATAAGAAAATAATAGTTTTCCTCTTAAGCCTCTGTTTCAAACTCAACAATGACCAACAGTGATTTCTGCTGTGGCATGAAGGGAGGCAAACTTTCCATTCTCTAACTACGGGATAATACTCTGAAAAGAAAACCACTTGTTAGCAATGACTGAAACCCTCTAAAGAAATGTCATGCAGTGAGAAAATTTCTCATAAGAAATCTCATGCAGTGCATAAATACTCTTTATTCCATGAAGACTTTATTTCAGCTACAAAAATTCTTGATGTAAGATTTGTGCTGCAAAAGCTACCGGCCTCTCTGGAGGGAATAAAGGCAAAAGCATTAGAAACCACCATCCAAAGCCAATACTTGCTTTAAAATACATTCTGAGGGGAAAAATAAAAATTCAGTCTTTTTTCTTTTCCCCACATAATATATTAGAGTGCCAGTTAGGAAAGCATATCCCCCCCGATGAACATCTGGCAAAATGATGAAGAGAAGGCTGAGGCACTCAACAATTTTTGTCTCAGTTGTCACTGGCAACCTCTTTTCTCACATTTCTTGAGTGGATTGCCCTTAAGCCAGGGATTGGGAGAGCAAAGATGTGTGGACTGTTATGTGGATGAGGAACTGGTTGGATGGTTGCATCCAGAAGGTAGTGGTCAAAGGCAAAAAGTTCTGATGGACATCAGGGACAAGTGGTGTCCTTCAAATGTCTGCACTGGGACCAATGTCATTCAACGTCTTTATTGATGACACAGACAAAGGGATCAAGTGCACCCTCGGCAGATTTGCAGACAAGACCAAGATGAGTGGTGCACTTGACACACTTGAAGGACAGGATGCCATCCAGAGGGACCTGGACCAACTTGAGAAGCGGGCCTGTGGGAATCTCATGAGGTTTAATAAGACAAAGTGCAAGGTGCTGCCCCTGGGTCAGGGTAACCACCGGTATCAATACAGACTGGAGATGAACAGATGGAGAGCAGCCCTGTTGAGAAGGACTTGAGGGTGCTGGTGGATGAGAGGCTGGACATGAGCCAGAAATGTGCCAATTGTATCCTGGGTTGCATCAAAAGCAGCGCGGCCAGCAGGGCAAGGAAGGGGGTTCTCCCCCTCTACTCTGCCCTTGTGAGATCCCACCTGGAATACTGTGTCCACCTCTCTGGTCTTCAGTATGGAAAGATATGGACCTGTTGGAGAGAGTCCAGAGGAGGGCCACAAAAGTGATCAGATGAAACACCTCTCCTATGAAGACAGGCTGAAAGAGTTGGGATTGTTTAGCCTGGAGGAAAGAAGGCTCTAGGGAGACCTTATTGTGGCCTTTCAATACTTAAAGGGGGCTATAAGAAAGGTGGGGACAAACTTTTTAGCAGGGCCTGTGGTGATAGGACAAGGGGTACTGGCTTTAAACTAAAAGAGGGTAGATATACACTAGATATAAAGAAGATATTTTTTACAATGATGGTGGTGAAACACTGGAATAGGTTGCCCAGACAGGTTGTGGAAGCCTGATCCCTGGAAACCTTTAAGGTCAGGCTGGATGGGGCTCTGAACAACCCAATGTAGTTGAAGATGCCCCTGATCATTGTAGGCGTTTGGACGAGATGGCCTTTAAGGGTTCCTTCCAAACCAAACTATTCTATGATTATATTTCTAAGCTTGAATTTTAGTGACAGATCCTCTAGTTGGTGAAAAAAATGAAATGACACCAACTTACAACAGTGAGAAAGCATTCTTATTTTCAGTTATAAAAGTGAATCTATCATTACTTTTTATCTTCTGTCCCTTCTGTTCAGCTTTAAAGAAAAGAGATAGAGGAATGAATTTGAGAATAAAGCTTTCTTGAACTTTATATGCTGAGTCTTAGAAAGTTTGTTGGCTTTTATTACTGTAATATTTGGGTCCAGCCATGTAGCTATCACACCAGCCTTATAATTGACTAGATTACTATTTTAACATAATGATTTATTTATTTATTTAGTGTAAAATGTTAAGACATAGAAATGATAAATACCTCAGATAGGAGAAGTGATCTCTAACATTAATTCTACAACTCAAAATGCAATAGATTCTACTATAACACACTGTTTACAAAGGGTTATTCTGATTTGGTTTTCATTATTCTAACCCCTTCATTTTTCAAAGGCAGCAATTTTACAAGATCACTGTGCTCTTACTTCCAGCAATTCACTTCTCTATCACAACAAACCAGAAAGTGTAGACATTCAGATCTTTGAAGGTATAGACACACACATATCTTAAGATCTTTCTCCTCATTAAGAATTTCTGAGTTCAGCCTGATGTTGAAGCTCCAAGTGAACCACCAAAAGAACCCCCATGTTTGGGGAAAATGGCAGTAGCAGACAATAAGAGGAAGGAAGAAATGAAGATCCAGTGACAAGCTAAATCACTAATGTTGGGCATTTCCAGATGGGATTTTTTCTTAAATGGATATGCTGTTACCCAGTCTGCATCAAGGCATTTTGAGCATTCTTGCCTTGTAAGACTTGAGGGCACACAGAAGCCAGGAAGAAGCTTGAATCCTAGCTTGAATCCTTTATCCGTTGCATTCTTAGGACATTAAGACAGCTTTGTTGCTTGTCTCGGTGTAGTTAAAATGACACATCTTAATACTCACATCATTAAATACTTTTCTTTTAATGCCATTTCCCACTTCCTCAACTTCCTTGGTTCCCATCTATAAATAATGACTATGTCTAACTTAGCAACTTCGACTTAGACATACTGGGTTATACCTAGGAGATTTCACCATATACACTCCTCCACATATTAAGAGTTTCTCGTGTTTATAACCTGTTTATAAGTTGTGTGAAAAGAGATCTTGTTCACAGTGTGCCACCAATTGCTTCCTTTCTGCTCTACTGCTGTGTTTCTAGACTAACAGCGGGTTTTTTGCCAGTCAATTTCTGTCAGCATTTAAAAATCTTAGTGATCTACTTAAGAGGTAAACAAGTTCAATGATATTCTGAACATTCAAACAGTTTGTAGTCAGAAGTACAATTTGCCTTCTGTTCATTTTTTCTCCTGAAATCCCATCTTAAATTTGTTAAACCCAAAAATAGGTTGGCATCCCTAAGTTCTATATTGGCATAGATACTACCTACAACTTTTAATGCTTCCTTTTAATCTCCATGCCTAAGGATAATACGGCAAAAAATTATATCTTGAGAAAGGCATAAAATAAAAAAAAGACAATGAAAGAACAGTTTTAAGTCTTTAAATAAGACACCTTTTCTTTACACTCCTTTGATACAAAGCTGCACACATCTTGAGATGATTGTGCATGATCTATTATCATTTTGTACACTCCAAGACCCCACAACACAAATAACAATACTGCTTTTGCAAAAGATACCATGATCCAGTTCTCTCCAGTTCACTCTGGTTGCTCTAGAGTAACCAGATATTTCACATTGTCTCATGCTCTTTAGGAAAGAAAAGGCTTCTTTTTATTTTCCACCATATTGATCAATTACTGCTTCTAAAATTTTATCTGATACAATCTTTTTCATAATAAAAAATGTCTCTCTTTGTAACAAAGTGCCTGAGAGAACCCCAGTTTCTACTGAACTGCATGTGTAATACTGGTTTTTGCCTGTGAAAAAATTAAAGTTTAAGTAAAATTTCAGTCCGGACATTAATCAGAAAAGGAAGCTGAAGATAAAGGGAAAAGATGATCACAAGCATTTAATTCCAATGAGAATTATTGCATCACTACCTTTACATAAAATACAATCCCTAGAAAACAATTCATATATAAACCTGTCTAGAACTCTAAGTTCTAGAAAAAAATTTCACTGAGAGAATTAAGTTAGTTCACAGTTACAAATTTTGCTCTTTTTCTAATATGATAGTGGAATGTGCTGTATTGCTAAAAGCAGAACTAATATTCTCTTTAAATCACTACAACCCGCTGAATTCAGAGAAGGTACTATTATGTACACTGCATAAACAGAAATATATAAAATTATAATGTGATATGGGGAGTTTCTGCTTTTTCTCACCTATATTTAGCTTTTTTTCCTTTAAAAATTTACAAATTAAATTTAGGCAACCTAAGTCTCTAATCAAGGCAACTTCTTGTTAACCCTGTTAAAGAAGTTAATAAATCATAAGAAATTTCTGTGCTTCCTGGAGCATGGAAACCTGCAATAAAGAAGGGCAGGAATATTATTGCATTTTGGATATACTTTTTTTTTAAACTTTCACAAAGTCACATAACGTCTCTCTCTAAAAGTTTTTAGTCATTTTCCAGTTTCAAATAATTTAATTGAGGGTAGAGATCTCAAAACCCTAAGTGAGGTACAAAAAACCTCTTAATTCAGCGAAAATAGTTTCTGTTTGCACTAGCTGGGGTGGAAAACCTGTTGTAATGTACTGACGAAGAGAGGAATGAATGAGGAATGAATGAAACGACAGAGAAAGATATTCAGTGTATCCATCAGTTACTGCTTCTACAAGTTTAATCTGACCTGGCCTTTCTGTGAAATACTTCTATACTGGTTTAAATATTTGCGTTTTCAGATTAGAGAACTAAGCATTGACAAGAAGGGAAAAAAGGAAAATATATGAGTTCTTTATTCTCTTCTGCCCAGGACTGGAACAAAGATTGACAGTGCTGGTGAGGTAAGAAAATAATCAAGTAGATGATAATTACTATGACTGCTATACAAGAGGAAAAAATGTCTTAATAACATAAGAGAAAGGACAGCTTAAAAAACCCCAGTAACCTGCAAAAAACCTAACCACCTTCTGCTGAGTTTCAAGATCTGATTTGGATTATAGAGTGCACAATACAATAGCTCAAGAGTAATCTGCAAAAGGGCACATAAACGTGGATGACATCTTAACAGCATGCTTCAGAGAGGCTAAAATCACCATCCTACTGATACTGAAGAATACAGTGCAAATTCTAGTTTAGTAACCTCAACTACAGAAAAAATGAACTATTGCAATAAATGAGTGTATGTATGTATGCATGTATATGTATGACAAAGCTATGTATATAGCTTTATAATCAGGTGTGTGAACTTTAAAGTCTTCCCATTTCCTAAGTGACTTTTCAAGAGACATAGAATCATGTTTTAAATACAGAGGTATCAGGTGATCTGACTGATGGTTTAAATTACTATTTGCCTAGGGGAACAGGTCCTTTCTACCGTTCATTGAAATAGTTGTCTACTATTCACTAAAATCCAGTAATTTATATTAAGACCACTGTATCCTGACTCCTGAAGTCTTCCATTTTTGAGAAATTCTACTTCTAAACAGAAAATAAAAATGAAGGAGAAACTGCAAGTGATGAAAGCAAACCATGAACATACAGTGCAAATGCTGTATTGCGTTCACAAAAAATCTATTGAGAAAAAAACAGCAAAGCAAGGCAAACAAAGGGGAAAAAGTTACAATTTCATAGCTCTAAAGCAGTGATTTTAGGAGATTATTTTAATTATATTCAATTATTGAGTATATTAGATGATAAAGCCTATGACTAATCAGATACACAGGCTTTATAGCAACTATTATTTCAGCAGTTGAATGATTCAAACTGACGAAACACGTGAACTTCACCTTGTTTAGCCCTATATCTTAAACAGATATTTTCTGTAGCATGTGCTCTAAAAGATAGCAATAATGTGTCTTTGTTAGAAGAAAATAACTAACACTGTCTGTTCACACACAGACTAGGAGGCAGGCAGTATATTTTTAGCTAGTGTTAGTGCAAAAGCCTCTTGGAAGTGTCTCTTACCAGTTCTCCTGCACTGCCTGCTGCGTGATGGCAATAACTGATGAGACCAGGGATGGGCTGTTCACCTTTTGCCATGATAACAGCTGAACTGGTGTAGGATGGATGCTTCTAATGCACAACACATAACAGCTATGAATACAGTGACAGGAAAACATGAAACTATACAAGCAAATGACCAAAAAGGAATGAGGTGAAAACGAGTGTGACACTGAAATGCCAAGTTCATGTGAACATAGCCAGTTTAGATCTCAGGTATTTTCTGCCATTAAAAATGGCACATATTATTTGTCTTTGCCTACATCACAAAAAATTAAACAATTTAAAGTTTGCATTAATAAAAACTGATACTTGCAAGTGATAATTACCTTAATTCATCCCTGTAAAGACATATGTAATCAGGATTTCCTGTATATTGGGAGATGATCTCCAGCTGCAGCTGTCTTAGAAATGTCAAGATGTCTCAGACCTGAATTCACATTTCTGGAGTTAGAATGTTGCTGCTTTGGTTTAAAAATTGTTTAATATAATTTTGAGTTACTTAGACTTTCAATTCGCATAATAGGAATTAAAAGCACAATTTGTGGAGTAAATATAGAACAAAGCAGTTTGGAAAAAAACCTTTCCAAACACATAGGGATACATTGTCTTTTCACTTGAAAACTGAAGACATAAAACTGAGGTAAATATTTATATATTGCTTCAAATAATACAATAATTATTTGGAAAACATTTAAAATTTGAACAGAAATTATTTACAGGTGTTATCTTTTTTTTTTTTTTGGAGTCTTCAATTTATTATTTTAGTTTGAGTAATGCAAGGCTATAAAGACAATATGATGATATTTAGTTTGTTGGCAGAATTTCACATCTTTTATGTGGGCATGCACACCGGAATATAGTAATCTGGATATCTTATTACTTAATCTGCTACCTCTGTCATACTTTTTATCAATGTTTTCAGAAACCAACATTTTAATTTCAAATTAGATATTACGGGTTAGAAAATTTTGTTGCGATTCTGTAACATGCCATCTAATGGACTTTGCATGTTCAGGTGTGTGAGTACTTTGAACTAAAAAAAACCCACTTAAAACTATCTGTCACATCAGAACAGTATTATAAAAACATATGCTAACATCAAGATAATAAATCATTTATCTCCCACTGAAATTTGAAATCACCTACTGAAACAGAATTCTTATATTTTTTAGATGTTATATTTCTACAAAATGTACCTAAAATACATCTGTTTGACCACAGAGATCTCAATATACAGTCTTAACATGCAAATGAATATTGGTGGAAAGTACCTGAGATAGAAACGAAAGGGGTCTCTTAGGGAAACAAGTCAGACTCACTTTAGCTGCGATAGCTGCTGCTGTTATATGTGAAGAAGAACTGTCTTCTGTTGAGGCAACTCCACTATCCTTCTTCTCTTCCTCCTCTTCCTCACACTGTACTCCTTTGTCTTCTGTCTGTTTGTGAGGGCTGGTGGTTGGAGGAGGAGAAAGAGGAGGTGGTGGTGAAGGTAGATCTTCAAGCTCATCGTGTACCTCCTTTACTTTTACAATGGCGTCCCGCAAAAGATCAATGGCGTGAGGTAGGGCTGGCAGTATAAACTGAAAGCATTCCTATGCACAACAAGAAGAGAAATGACTATGAAAAGTTACCTGCAGAAGTAAATAAGGATCTTTCAGATTTACTCTTAAAATATATTTGGGACTTAGATGCATCTTTTCACCCAATCGTAAATAAAACCTTACCTGTCCAAAGCAATTGCTCATAGAGGGTAAAAAAATAAACTCAGAATGAGACCTGCTGACTGTTCTACATATTTTTGCCTTTTTTTATGCAAATAGAGTAAATTGCACAGCTACTGTAATTAAGCTAATATTGTATTAAAACTTCAGAAAACAAGAGTTAAATTTTTGTGAATATGTAATGCAGAAAACAGTTCACAGCAGCTGGCAGAATGCTACAAAAATGGAGAATAAAAACATTAACTATATCCCTGCAGGGATATTAGCTTCAAATCATTCCTATTATGCTCCTTCACAATTAGAGAACAATTCATAAGGGTTTCCATAATTAAACTTTTATACAATTATATCCCTTTTTATTCATGGACTTGTCCTATATACTGGAAGAATTACAAACTACACTGATGTTATTATAATGCTATGTAACTCAGAAAAAATGGTTCATAAATAATCTATTTTTCAAACCTCTCTTTGCTCTATGATCTTAAAAACAATTAGAAGGTTTATTTTATATGGCTGGAGAAAGCAAAAATGCAGACACTGCAATTTTCTCATTCCACTATGGGCACACACATATATAGCTACCTGTGCTGCTAAAATATGCTGGCATTTCATCAAATGAAAGAGGAACCCCAAGATGTCATGCTCTGCAGCTGCCTGTTCAGATCAGGGTCAATACGAAATTCAGACAGGCTTCTTAGGGCTTTGTTCAGTCAAGTCTCGAAAAAAAATTAAAGAACAAAGACTCTACAACTCTTCTTGACAACCTGTTCTAATCCTTAATTAGTGTTTTTTGTTGAGGTTTTTTGTTTGTTTGATTGGGTTTTGTTTCATTTTGGTTTGGTTTTCCATTTCTTTTTATCCAGCTGGAAGCTACCTTCTTCAATTTATGACTAATGTCCCTCATTCTCCTGCCAGGCACCTCGATAAAAAGTTTTCTTCATGTCATTTGAGGAGACTGCATATAAACATTAAATTATTGGAAAATAATGGCAGGGTCACAAGAATGAATTGCCATAGTGATGCAGTCAGGGAACACACAAGTTGACAGGCAAAGCTGGCAATTATTCCTTGTGTTGCACTTCATTTTCAGTTTTGTTTCAAGCATAAGGAAGATCTTAAAAAACGTATTCTGAAATTTTAGAGTATCTAGAAAATAAATAATGATAAAAATTTTATAAATAGATATTGAAATAAATTCTTTTCAATAAATAAAAACGACTACATAAACAAAATAAAGAGTAAAGCATCCATCGGAAATTACTGGAGTTTATATAAGCCACTTTGTAAGTGAAACATGACTCACAAACACTACTTCCTCAAAGCTTCTAAATAAGAACACATCTTTCAGTTACTCCTTTAAGAGTAATGAATGATAAGTCAGACCACTTCACATATTCATAAATTCTTTAAAGGTTCAGTTTGGTACTGTGAAGAACTGGAGTAAACTGGATCATTGTAAGATGCTGTATAAAATTAATATATATTAAAACATATTTGTAAAGATAATAAAAATTATGACTTATAATCTAACTGCAAACCACAGTTATTATGCCACCATAGTATTACTTTTAAAATGGTTTAAAATAATGAAACATACAACCACCATTACTTCAGCAAAAACACAGACCTCCAGTAAGTGAAAAACAAGGACAACAATCCCTGAACTGACCAATAATTGTGAAAAAGTACATTAATAATTGACTCATTAGAGAATCATGTTCCCCACTCCTACCACTGAAATAGAACCTTGTTGGCTTGATTGTTGTTGCAATGGTTCTCAGTAAGTACTCTAAAAGCTCATGTTATTTGTGAAACTCATTGTGTTAGGCAATTGTTACTACACTTATGAAAATTGCCATAGGCCAAATGATTTTAAGAAGCACCCGGTAATTTCACACTTTGCCCTCTTTCATAACATTAGCTATCTTTTGCAAGGCTAAAGAAAAAAAGAGATCAGAAAAAATGGAAGTATTCTACAGCTCTGGATTCAGTGGTACATGCCACAAAAATGTTCTCTGGAGAAAACACATTTGGCATGCGGTTAATTTTTGAGATTAAGCAATTACACTGCTGCCATTAATATTTTAATGTCTTATTAAAGTAATATGTATATTGCTGCAATTTCATAATTTCATATAAGTTTCTTACATAATCATATTTATACAGTGGAAAGGAAATTAGCAAGTCATAAAAGAGAAAAATGAGAGAAATTGCTGGTAACAATCTATCCTTTTTGGTTCTTGAGAGTCAGCCTGTTAGGGAACAATTTTTTCTACTATTCATCTTAAAAATCTTTGCTGAAATCTGATACTTTACAGATGCTTTGTACTAAAATAAACTGTGACAGGACAGAGTATCATCACGACAGGAGCAAATAAAACATCAGTTTATCAAAAGCTTGCTTGTATAATGCAATTATACGACATTTTTTTTCCTTTCCAGCAGAATTTTCTTTTTTATTACTTACTCTATATCAAACTATTGTTAAAATACTTATTAACACTTTTTCATTTCTTCATTTCTGCAATTTATCTGTCTTCACAGTCTGATTGTCTCAGGACAGAAAATGACAATTGCTTCTGTACCTAGCATGTCAGTAGTGCTACTGAACACAATAAAAACCATTAGAGATTGTAGGCTATTTAATCTCTTTCATAATTCAACAAAAGAAGTACTCACTTCCGAAATAATCTTCTTACTGGTGCATCAGTTCTTTAACATGTGGGGGCCATTGCTATGTTAAATACATGTACATCCCTATGACTTCCCACTCATAAGTGGAAGAATTTCAAGAAGGTATACTTCCACCTTAGCACCCTTCAACTCCTGTTGCATGTTTTGAAGACTTTTAAATTTCTTTTTAATTCCAGTCTCATTAGATTTCCTAAAAAGACTCTAAGGAATGGTAGAATCATAGGAGGGCTTACTGAGTCCTTGAACTGAAACACATTGACAATGTATCTGAAAACCTAAGGTGGCTTCTTGAGATCATAGCATTCAAAACATTTCCTCTTCAACTTCCAGATGACAGCCCACATAAACGCTGTTTACTTATCTCCAGAGACAAGTCTTTCAAAAACCAGTGATTTCAGGGCTGTGCTGCTAAACACATTAATACTGTCTCCTCTGTGACTGGGTACTAATTGTTCAGAAAAAGTCTACCAGATATGCATTTGTTAGAGGCCAGAGGCAAAGACATTTTTTAATAAGGCCACTGACATAGTCTGAGTCCTGAAGAAATAGCTTCTTGTGATGGGACAATCTACCTTAGCAGTTTTGTATCAGGTTGTACAGCCCACTATTCAGCTTGGCAGTATTTGTGTGAAGATTGTTTTCCTATCAGCCAACAACACAGAAATCAGCGAAAGATCTAGCCTTACTAACTCACACACACACACACACACACACACACACACACACACACACACACAAATTCCTGCTGAAATTTGTGTTACAGTCAAAAAGAAAGAATGAATAAAACCATAAAGCCTAACTTCTCTGTCCAAACTAAGCAAAATGCAGGAAGAAAACAAACTGTATAAAGGGTGAAAAGCCGGACAGCAATATTGAGAAGATTTAAAAAAATCCTCAAATGCTCAAAAATTATGTTCCCTTTTTTCCCTCTTGCTGATCAAAATTGGGAATGTTCTTCATACTCCAGCAAGTTCTACTGTTCTGCCTTCCTCTTATTTCTGTGCAAAAAAGAACACTTTCTTGCTGTAGACAATCCAGGGATGAGGTACAAGCTAACTAGAGAAGAAGGAGGAAGTGTAAGACTATTATAGTCTTCATTAGTACTGCCTGCTAGAGTGAGTGCTTGCTTGCACTACATGTAACACTGTCCTGGTCACACAGCACCTTCAGTCAGATTGGAATTGTACCGTCCCTGGCTGAGGGTGACGGTGTGTTCACTTACATGAATATGCATTTCAATTCACTTTTGTAAAATTTGTTGTAGTGGGCACTTTCTACCATTCAGGACAATGAGAAGTACTCATCATGGTTCCTCACTAGCAGATCAGTAAGAACACTTCTTACCTGTGACCCTTTCTTGCTACCTGGTAGATTAATTATGAGAGTTTTCCCTCTGATTCCACACACAGGTCTGAAAAAAAAGAAACACAGACTGAAATTCTTGCATGCAACTATCTCCACTGTCAAAACAAAACCAAAGCATTTAAGATACATTCAATGATTTATCAGATTTTGTAAACCTAATTTCCAATATATTTGCTGATAATGTTCTCATAAAAGAACTGAGAAGAAGCTGAACTGAGAAAGCATCAAATCAGGCTGACAGCATCTAACATTGAATTGATAGTATAAAGACTGGATAGATTTCCATCTTTATTTAGATCTGTGTAGCTTGCTTAATCCTATTGTTTACTTGTATCCAAAAAAACTATTCGATATAGTCCCTATTTGATCCCACACATGTTCTTTTGCAATGTAATTGATGGTGTCAAACACTGTGTTCCTGGCCAGGTAAAAATACTAAGTCGTGCTTGTTGCATTAATTCAAATATGTCCTTTTTTAAAAAAAAAAAGATGGAACATAAGAAACGCGAAGAGGGTAGTTAATTATCAAGTGAAAATTGCACTTATGCAATTCAAATCTAATTCTTTCTAACAGTTTTTCCCTCAAGAAAAGTCAAAACTAACTATCAAAGATGGAAGTTTTTATTTCACTTTTTTTGTCTTTAGGGAATTCCTTTGGTGTTCATGGAAGACCGAACTTAAACATTCCAGCAGCAAATGCTTTCTGTTGTTTAGTTTGACCCTTCAACATTTTAGCTAAATATTTTTCAAAAAAAAAAAATTAAAATTACTGAGTTTTGTCTTGAGGTTGTAAAGAGTGTTTCTTCTGTTTATGAAACCAGCAGTGAAAAACACAGGACTGGGATATAAGGATAAGAAAAAGGTAAAAGGACAATACCAAACCACAAAGACACAGAGGTTATAGTTAAGAGAAACTGTGACAATCACTTTACTGAACAAAAAACAAGTTACAAGTGAAGACAGAATAGAAAAGAAAATAATTTCCAGTTATGGCATTACCAAAAGTTTTGAGCCAAAGGATATGGTTTGTTGAGTAGTCAACTTCTCTGGATTCCTTCTTATACAAATAATTCTCAGCAATTAAAGTCATTTATTGGTAACATGGCATTTTTATCAGGGTAGCAAGTATTTCCGCAACAGCTGTCATAATGCTCAGAAGTAAATAGCAGAGAGATCATTTTTGTGCCACAAAATGAACTTCTGATATCACAGTCAAGCTAGCCTGAAGAGAAGTCTTGCTTTCAACTGGCAGTTTGAATATTGCCTGACTCCTAGCTTCTGTTTTCTCATATTCACTTCTTTCACACTACGTACACTCAGTTCAGAAAGAACTCCTGGTAGCTGAGGAATGCTCTACTGCAGCACAAAGATGAAGAGCCTGAGTTAAAGAAATGTCTTCATTTATTCTTGTTGCAGTCGTCAAGCCTACAGAGCACAAACTCAGTCTAGCAAATCCGATATATGGCTTACAGTTTATGACAGATTTAAAACAAAGGAAATAGGAATTGTCCACAGAGAAATAAAAATGCGGTGGAATTGTGTTTGGCAGATATCTCCTTTAATAGTCTTCTTCTTGGCTCTTCTATTCCACTTTAAATAATTTTGAACATTATAAGCTAAATAACCAGTACAATCAACCGATAATAAAAAAGGGATTAAACCAGCTGAAAACTGGTTTCTCCTGAAAACTGCAAGTTTTGGCTGCCAATAATCAGATCTAACGGCTCAAGAGAGAAATGGAGCTGACAAAAATTTCTCAAGAGAGTGTGCAAAAAAGTAAGTAAAAGTACCTAAGAAATGCATGGCTTGCAAAAAAATATCGTGTGAAAAACCCCCATGATCTCCCTGGTAAGAAAATATGCTGTTAAAAGCAGAAAAGATGGGCAAGGGAACAGAGAGTGCTTTTAAAAGCCACAGTAAAGACTGGCATGGCACAGGCAGTTGACAGGCAAGGGATCAGGTGAAGGGAAGAGATAATTCTGGGATAAGGCCAGTTTTGGAAGGTCACAGAGGAGAAATGGAAACACTTTCAGGAAACACATAAAAAGGTCTTTAATATTCTAAGACAGTCCCTTCTCGATTCTGGGTCTGAATCTGAACTGAGAATGAGAGTGTCGCTGTCCCTCATTTGCGCCCTACCCAGCCTACAAAATAACTTTCCAATGCTGGCCCTAAGGCAGGAAGACAGCCTATAACTTGTAACAAGTTTTAAAAGTTCATGTGATAAAATTCAACATGACTGACCTAACATTTCCAAACCTGCAGGTGATTTATAGATGTGTCAGCTTAATGTTACACAACAGAACTTCTGCTTTTGTTTTTTCATTTGAAAAGTCAAAGAAATTACAAGCAGAATTATCCCTTTGGACTTCATTTCAAAATGAAGTCAGTGAGAGGTAAGCTTAGGGTAAGTGACATTTAATGATTTATACTTGAAAAAATTAGGATTTACATTTCCCTAACTCTGTACCTAAAATTAGTGTAAGTTTCTGACCTCTTTTATTGTGTGCTTTAATTCTCATTGTAAGAGGGGATTACAGCATTACCTCAAGTTTCAGAAAGTATATGAAAATACATATTAACAATTTGGGTCTTCAAACAACAATTGATGCAAGAAAAATACCAGAGAATGCGCCTGCATTCAGAGAAGATTCTGAATAAAGAGCACCAATACTCATAGTATTACACACAGGACAACAAATAAGAGAGAAGTAAATTTCCTTTCCCCATCTTAAGCATTTGCATAGGAATTCTACAAAAAATTCTAATTATAATAAACATTGCATTCATGTTGAAGTGAGATTGCACAAGAAATCAGAATGTTGTAATTTTGTGTACTTAACTTTATGATCTGAACAGTGTTATAAAAATAATGGCCTTTTGTATGCTGATTGCTTTTAGGCCTGTTCATTGGGAATTTTTTTAAGGCCTGATTGCATGCAGCATCTTTGCAATGTTATCTCCCATCATTCTCATTAATTACTACTGAAAGTGGCTGTAGTTTAAGGGCCATTTTCTGTCTATATGTACAGAAGAGCCAGGATGCAATCCAGCATTTTGGTTCCACTGCCATTACAATATCCTTTCAGCCACCCTGATCACACCACATCCTAGATCAAACTTGGTGGCGGTTATCCTTTTCTTGGTCAGAAACAGAACAGCTAAACTAGCCTTACTCTCTTTGAGTAGCATTCTGTTATCCTTTCCTTTCAGATAAATACAAAATGATATAAAACTGATATAAAAAATTCTATCAGATAAAAAAGTGAAAATACTTTTTAATCGGTACAGAATTTGAAGGTGTTAACTTGGTAATGTTGCCCTTTCAGATATGTGATACAGGGTATGGAAAGTTTTAAAATACCTTGTCGAATCACTAAACCTCTCATCTAAATGTCCTTTAAAAATGCAACTATCTGAACACAAACTTGTATTTTTAAAAGTTTCTTCTTTATTTCTTATATAATTATTTTCTTGTTATACCCTCATTATACGAGAAATCAAAACCCTGTAATAGCCATTGTTTCTTACTTACCTTGAAATAATGTGTAAGTGCAAATTAACTTATGAAAGGTATTGCTATTACTGTCTATTGTATGTAAAATGAACCAAATTGACAGAATAAAATAAAAATCAACTCCAGAAAAAAATACAGAATAAGAGGTATCACTTATAAAAACCAGAATAACTACAAGCAGAGAAACAGTTACTAGTTATTTAGTAGGAAATACTAAACTCTAGGAATTAAAGTACAATATCTGAAAGGATAGAACAAAATACCATTTTACCTTCTACAGAGAGCTTCTGCTGATACTGGAATAAAAGCAATATCAAAACAATACACTTGTCTTTATCAAAGATTTGGGTTTTTTTTGCCAAACAAGGCATTTTAGTACTTGATGAACAACATACAGAAAAATTCTTCACTCATCACCCAAATGCCACAGTTCTAGAATGAAAAGACAGCTATTTAACAGTGTTCATCAATATTAAAAATAACATGGATCAGAAAATACAGGAAGATACAGTTTCTAATAGAGACAACAAAGGGAATTAAAAGAGAAAATGCAATTATTATTCTTGGAATTTGGCAACTTCAGAGAAGTTAAGACTTCTAGTCTTGATAATAATGGCAATATTCAGGAATTTGTGCATAGTCATTGAATAACAATGTATATTTCTAAGGAAAGAGTTCACCATATATTTTTAAGGAAATAGTCTTACCTGGACAGCATGCCCAGAGGAGTAACATTAAGTGATCCCATCAGCATTGCCAGGGCCATCCCTGGGGCTTCTCGCTCTATTACTTCTTTAGTGGCCTGCAATCAAAGATTAAATAGCAAAGTGAGCGACAAAGTACAAGGATAAGAAGAAAATGTATAAAACCAGATAAAAATTGGGTAAGAATATCTCATTTTGTTCTGTCAAAAATGTTGCTAAATTTTCAACACTGAAATACATTACAGAATTTTCTCTTGGTTGTATAAAATAGGGAAAGACAAGGGGGTTGGGAAGTAGTACTGTTAGCTGACTGTGAAGATTCCTATAGAAAATTATAAAAGTCAGGACCCTATAAATATAGAAAGCGTTAACCAACACCACAGAAATAACAACTGCCTCAAACAGAAAGGAAAAAGTGTTTGAGAATAAGCAAAGAAAAGACTGCCTTCTCTTCCTCATCAATCTTGTGCATTTTCCTGTTGCATTTTCCCAGGCATGAGAAGGGTAAATCAGTCTGTGAGATAGAAAAAAAAATTTTGCAAAGGGAAGCCCATGTAGCAGGCAAGCAGGAAAATAGTAAAATGGTAATGATAGTGGCCAGAGGCTGAGGCCTTCCCTTTCAATCATGTCAGCAAAACAGTGTTTCCAAATAGGCTGATGGCTTTTATTCACAAGCAGTCCATATGCAGTGGGCACTGAGAGTCTGGAAGCAGAGTCTGAAAATTCTTGTCTTTTTAGTCCTTTTTTTCTACAAAGGGAATCAGATGGAAAACCATGCACAACATTATGTCCTTACTTCCTAACACAAATTTTGTTGAACACACAATCCATCCAGTCTCCCAACTTCTAACTTGAGTTAGTACACAACATCTTAAAGACTGCTTACAGTCTCACCCTCTCTTCATTTACCCCACAGTAGTTGCTGTTCAGTGGATCGCACTGTTTCACATCCTGAAACAAGATTCTAACTTATTTGACATAACTCAACTGGTAGCAATGATCATAAAACTGTGAAATCCGTGGTATTTGACAGTCGAACTACAACACTTTGACGGTATAGCTATCAAAACAGAAATACAAAAGAGCACCTTAAATATAAGGATATGCCGAATAAGCTGAATTTTCTTGGCAGTTTGATATAGCAAAATAATAAAATGGAAAAAACCCAGGCAAAATATTTTGTGGGAAAGATTCAATTATAAATCGCATCCTTGTACTTTTGTAAGCTTTTAGTTTACAAATAGAAAAACAAAGTCCTAGAGAAGGAAAATGACAGAATTAACCCAATCTAGGTATCCCTATAAGAAGGATCCAGAAGTCCTATACTAGTTATATGGATAAAACGCTTGCAGGAGGCAATAAATAAAACAGAAAAAAAAATCCTTGAACAGTACAGATATTCATGTGTCCATATTCTCAAACACTGTCACTAACATTTAACATGTTTTAAAGGAATATGCCAGTATCAGAAGACATCAGACACAGCTACCATGTAAACCTTTGGGTATTTTATTAATAAGCAAACTGGTTATGTGCTCAGTTCTGGGAAGCTGGAACTTTGGTTTATACAAAACCAAGCAATTTCAATTCAGTAGCTGATACCACAGCCTCTTTTATTTGAAGCGTAGCATGTTGATTTTAGTATCTGCCATCCTATACTCAGAAACAGAAAAGCCATATAAATGCAACTCAGTGACAGTGCTTCTACACAGGGGAAATGAGAAGAAGTGGTCTTGGAATGATGTAGACAAAACTAAAACCTCTCCATGGAGGAAAATTACCTGAAGGATAGCCTGAAGAAGGATACCTGCTGAGGTACTAAATTATCAATCACATTAAAAATTCTTAAGACTATCCACAGACCTGATGATTTTTATAATATAGAAGAAAAAGGCATTGCAATGGTGAAGAGACACTTTGCTGACAATGAAAAAGTTGGTGAAACATGGAATTCTCTCTGTGTGCATATATAGGAAGTCTGTATCTATGCCTTTTATTTTCAGCTAATACCAAGCTTCAAAGCTATTCAAAACCAGTTTTAAATATAAAGTGCATTTTGAAATTTATTTTTTGCCCTTGAGCACAGCGACACTTTGAAGATATCATTAGTTAAAATTCTAAACAGGCTTCAAAGGTAGTACAAGATGCAAGAGAGTTCCATAAACAATGATCCTGCAGCTCAGGGAGTCCTTCAATGAAATTCAAGTCCATTCTCCAACTTCACAAGAAAAATGACCTTCACAAAATGTCACTGCTAGCAGGCAATATGATTATTAAAAATGTATAGACTAAGCAACAAAATCTGAAAGGGCACTGAGTCCAAACAGCAGTACATTCCTCAACAGAAGTTTCTAAAAATACTTGTTTCAAAATATATATGCTTATATTTATTTCTGTAGGTAGACCTCTGAAAACATGGGAATGCTTCTGGTTTTCATATTTGCAGCCTTACTGCATAGATGTTAAAAAAACTGCTGCTGCTAAGTAACCACTTTTACAGTGACATCTGCTCTTGAAATCAGTCACTGGACAGCCCACTTTTGGGATGCTCTCAAATAACACAACTTAAAATGTGCAGTATACAGGAACTGAAAAAACCATCACACTGGGAAGGACACTCTTAATTAGCTATACATATATATGAATGAAATTAACAGTGCTGCAATGACTGACAGATAACTTGTGTCTAGCTGTTACAACTCTTGGTTTCACCTAACAATATACCAAAGTGCTAGTGGCCAGGTTTTCTAATATTTCTTCCAGTGTTTTTCCTTTGAAAGAAGGGTGGAGGAGAGATGTCAAACCTAGATTTTCATCTGTGTCCAATTCACCAGTTAACTGTCTGGTACCAGCACCTGCCTGCATGGAAACTATTAAAGAATAGTGATTCAGCACCTTCACATTTTACTAGTACTCTAGCAAGGCTGAATTAAGACTGTTCAGCCTTGTTTCACGGGCAATGTTTTTGTTGGTAGTCCAGCCAGCTGTTGCCTGCTGCAGGGGGCCATAGTGTTGGCACAGAATGAATCACAGATCAAGGCTGTTGCCACTGGCTCTCTTACAACAGTGATGATGACACTGCTGGGCACTAGCAGGAAAAAATGAAGGTATTTCATTCAGAGCTGTCACACTGATGCCTTAACTGGGACTGAAGGTATATTCTCAAACCCGAGGCTGACGACTATATAAAAGGTAGGTGAAAAATACTGGAGTAAAATTGCATAAAATACTAAAATGACAGCAAAGAAGTGTCCCCAGTTTCTCAAGCATAAGGTGGTAATGCAAAAAAGACAAATGCATACAAGAGGGATGTAGGTGGAAGAGAGGGTTTCCACAGAAGCAGAAGCACTTGAAAATAAAAGCAAGAGTTCAGGAGACAGACAGAAATGCAGAAAATCCAGTTTGGAGGTTGCAAAGAAAGGCAAGGTTTGTAGTTTAGATAGGAGAAGGGAACATGGGAAGACGGAAGCTAAAGTGGAAAGGCAGAATTGTGGAGAGGAAGTCCCAGCAGTAGGATTGTCAGAAGGCCACAAATGAGAGTAGAATAAAAGCAAGTGAGTGAAGTGAGTGGGATGGAAAATAGCAGGGGAGGTTGGAAACATGATTTTTAAGATCTCTTCCAACTTAAACCGTTCTGTAATTCTACAAAGGAAGACTGCACAAGGCAGCTTGGGCAGACAATACATGAGGGAAAAACTCAGGTGAAGCAAAAAGTAAGGCAGAACATGACAGAAGTGTCAGGCTGTGGGGGAACCATGGAGATAGACAATGGGACTGAAATAAAATTCTACTCCAGAGAGGAGAAGTAGGGACAAACAATTTAATTATTCAGGATTTACTAACAATGTCTATGAGAGCAGTACTTCTTATATTTCATTGCTATATGAATAAATCCAACTGATTTTAAAGCACATTTTTGATTGTTTACAAAGTGCCTTTTTATTGGAGTTAGGGCATTATGTTCCCAAACCAACTGATATATTTTTAGATATCTTTGACGTAGTTGCTGTTGCTTAACAGATGGCTCGCTGCCAACTGCTTTCACAGAGTTCTCTGCTGCTTCACTGCCTTTCCTTGCCTCCATATAAATTAAGTTAGTTCAGTTCCCAACCTGTGGAAGCCCTTCCAGGCAGTTTTTGGAGGATATACCCACTGCAGACTGATTTAATTAAAAGACCTAGAACTACTCTTGAAATGTTCAGAAACTCCTTATCTTTGTCTTTCAGGCACTAAGTATAGCAAAGTTTGACCTCAATAGTAAGTAATCATTTGAGACATTTCATATACTCTTCAGCAGTTTTTGGACAGTAATATAGTTTTATTTCTTCAACTAAAATGCAAATATGAGACTCAGAAGTCATAATAAATTCAATTAAATTAAGATGACAGAGACTGCCTCTGTGGAAAATATTATTTCTGTAGAAAAAGTTAAAAATCTATGACTCTGAATAGCATATCATAGAGCTATATATGCAAATTAATGGACAAATTGGCAGACAATTTATGTTTAACAGACTATAGAATTGACACTGATAACATTTTATTACCTATTTGAGCTTTTCACTGAAAGCTGAAATCTTGGAAGGGCATAATGAAAGAAATACTTATATATCCTCTGCAACACAGCTCACAGACCACAGTCAAAACTCAGAACAGCAGAGAAAGGACTAGAGAGACAGATCAGTCAAATATGAAACAAAAAGGTCAGTCATGTCTGTCAACCAGTTGTGTAAGAAGTGTATACTCTAGCAATCTTCTAACAACATTTTAGAGTGCTGCAGTAAGACATACACCATGCAATGGCTGTTTTTTCATATGTACACAATTAGGATTATCATTGATTTAACAATGTCAAATTATAGAGATCCATATAAGTCAAGAGGGCAATGTATAGCTACTTTGAAGTAGGTGTTTGTTGTCATTTTAGAGCTTTTGACAGATTCACACCCACACCAATGAACCACATGCACCTTAAAAATGTAATAGCCCGACAGTCGTAATTTCCTCCAACAATAAATTATCCATTAGTGCTAATGATTTGGGCCTGTAAAAACCCATCAGCAGCTGTATAGTCCCAGGGTAGCAGAGAATAACTGAT